CCACGCATCATATCACTTTAGGGGGGTCTGATTACAGGTCATACATCACAGAAAGGGGCAATACAATTCATTCTAGAACAAGTTTGATCACTCTGATGTCTCATATAATAAAACCAACAACTACTATTCTGGGAGGCATGCAAGTCCCCTGATAGTGGACAATAACCTAAGTCACCGGAAGGGGTAGTAACATAGGCAATACCAATAGGAGGGTGATGACCTAGGGGTGTGCCCATATTTGCTGTGGGATAAACAGTGGTGTCTGCTTGATGTAGACAGCTGATAATGGCTACCTAACCTTGGTCACCCTTGGGTGGGTTTGACCTCTCTGGTATCTCCTACAAGTAAACAGACCACCACTATCCTTATCAGAAGGGAGTGGGTCTTATTTAGGGTGAGTCCGAGTAATAGTCTAGCCACTGTAGATGGCTGATGTTAAGGAGAATAACCTCTGACCTACTTTCGCTGATCACCTATTGTACAGTCACTCTTAAGCAGCTAAGTCTGGTACATATTTTGGGGAGACAACTTAAGAGAAATCCTTCTGTTCCTCACAATGTAATTGAAGTTTTAAGTTGATTCCTACCATTAAGAGGGGAAGCCCCTCATTCTATTCACGTTTTCTCAGGAGAAAACTACATTGTTACACTCCGTCTAATTCTTAACTAAGAGAGTGTGTTTGGAGCTCAACTGTAACATTTATTGGCACTGTACCGTTGGCCACTTTTATTTAACTCTCCAGCTGACTTTCTTATCTATACAATAAAGACCATCATAAATTGTTATGGGATTAAAATGAGGTGAACTTAAAGCACCTGATGCATTGTCTGACACAGTATGTTTTGAAGTTGATGATTGTTACTATGACCGAGAACCAACCAAATGAGCCCTAGGCTAAAGCACTCAGCTTTGCACTGAAAGGCTGTAGTTCTGAACTGTAAAGTGACTTGTATGGGGAAGATCTGGTGATCTGGTTAACAAAATTGGATGGAGCAATTCTACTCTGTTATTGTGAATTGTTATCTACTGCAGGACACCTACGAGAAACCACAAAAGGACTAAGGCGTCATTGGCTATCTAGTACATGTGTAAATCATGATCTCCAAACTAGAAAGGAAGAATATACTTCTCGAAACACTACCTGCAAGAATGCCATCCAATGACCCAATAGCCTACAGAGGGAGGAATAGTAGGAACACAACCTGGGAAGCCGGTCTCCCTGAGGTGAAGACCTGGATCCTAATGGACGCCCTAGTCCCAGCTCAGTGGTTTTTTTTTCAATCTCTAAAAATGGAATATAGTTGTGTGACTTGAATAAATTAATACATGACAGATACTTAGACCAGTGTTTGACATACATTAAGTACTCAGTAACTGATATCTAATAACCTTATGCTGAAATATGACAGACTTGGAATTCTGAATTTAATTAAGGCTAGGTTAGAATTTTGACTCCATGGTGTATTATTAGTAAGAATTTTTCACAGTTTCTCAGGCAACTGTTAACTTTTAATCGATATGATCTGAAAATGTGGAAAGTATTCTCTCACACATGGGATATTTTTTTTAATTATATGAAGATACCTGAGATAAAATGTAGAAATCCTAACACAACAATACAGTGGGGCTTCAAAAGTCCACAGTACAAAGGAATTAAAAGATAATGGATTTTTATATGAACATTTTGAAGTCCCCTTGTATTTTCCCACTGTCAATTCAATATTATTTTTCCAAAACCAACTAGTTGTCTATAAAATGATATAATGTTTTTAAATGTTTTTAATTCTAGATTGCTCCACCCCCAAAATGATTGTTGAACTAGCATCAGAAATAAATATTTGGTCAATATATGAGTAATCTATTAAAATTTTAGTCCAATGCCAAAGTAATTGACAATTGATAACAAATCTTTCATTAGAAATAACTCAACTGAAAAAAGTTGTCTTTTCACTTAGGTTTATTAAAACACATAATTCATATATCATAAAATTAATAGTCCAATCCCATTAAGAAGAGTTGTGGAATCAATTTCAGAACATTTTCATCTTGTTCTCATTGTTGTTGGCTCTCCATTTTCCTCCAACTTCTCCTGCCATGCCCTAGGTGATTATAAATCCAGTTATTCTCTGAGTCTTTACCTATCCTAGATTTTGTATATAGAAAATCATACAAAACAAGCATAAGAAGCACACCAGAAAAATAAACAAAGACAAAACAGAGAAAACCCTCAACTGGAAAGAAAGCAGAAAATATTAAAATCTAACAATAACAAACAATGTATGGTTCATAGGCACTAGGTGCGTGCTCTACATTGTCACGTGGGAGACTAGATCATAAAACGACCTGGCCTAGGAGAAGAAGGCTGCATTATTCTTGGTGTTTATCCTTCTAGCAGTGGGCTCATACAATATCTGTCCTTTTGTGATGGACTGACTCACTGAGCATAATGGCTTCCAGGAGCATCGAGGTAATGAGGTGTTGCATGGTTTCACTGCTGCTCTTTAGGCATGCAGACTATTTCACTGTGCGTTTGTACTATAGTTTCTTTCTGCATTCTTCTACTGATGGACAGGTGGGCTGTTTTCAGCTATTCTCTATTGTGAACTGTGCTGCAGTGAGCATAGGAGAGCATCCCTCTGTTCATGTGCTGTCACATCTACCTTCAGATTATATTCCCAGCAAAGGTGTGGTTGTGTTGTATGGCATGTCTATTTCTAGTTGTAAAATCAGTTGTACTGTCCGCACTTTGTTAAACTTGACTCTGTAGTCTTTAAGTAAATGTTCAGACTCCGCATCTTTGCTTTTGTGCTCCCACAAGTCTTTGGAAAAGGCAGACTAAAGGAAGGGTAAAATCAAAACTGCTTTGAAAGTTTGGTGGGGCTTAAGTCACAGGGAGGGCTTGAGGCTTCATTGTTTGTGTCTGAAAATTCACTTTCCAACGTAGATAAGCATTCTTGATATAACCAGGGGACATAGCTTCACGTATAGGCGTTTTATCCTTAAATTCTTTCATTCTACCATATGTGCCATTTTAATGTTACAAATCTACAAGATAGTGCCTGCAGGTGTAACCTGATTCTGATGGTGCTAAATAAATTATCAGTCCTTTACTAGAATAGCAAACACCTAACAACTTTAATTTTTTAATAGTAAAATTATCACCATTAAAATTTTAAGATGTTAGACTTATTTCTGCTGCCAAGAAGCGCATTGTACGATGCAAATGGCGATGGCGATGTTTGGATTCAACCTCAGCTTTAGCTTCAATTTTAACTCTAACCCTGTCGGTTGACTTTTGAGATATAAGCATTCAGATCACCCAAGTTTTTGGAAGATCTTTCCTTTTTTATCAGCTGTCAGTGGGGAGTATATTTCCGAACTTCTTCTGCAGGGAGATAGGAAGCAAAAAGCTGGAGGAGGTGAATGAACCTGGGTAGTCCTCCAGGATAATCCAGGTGGAGTAGGTTTGCAAAAGGAATGAACCCAGAAGCCAGCATTCATTCAAGATGTGAACAAACCACCTCTGCTACTTTAGGATGCAGGCATTGCAGGAAGGAAGAGCCTGGTACAATGTCTCCCAGCTAAGGAATGACATGGGATTGAGAACAGGAGCCTGGGCTACCAGGTTTCCTCCATGCCACTCAGGAAATTGGTAACTTTAGCCACGATCTCCTGAGTCTTCACTATTGAAGGTTTTGCATCACATACACATTTCCATTTGCAGAATAAAAGCAATACATTTTCCATGTGATTTATTACTTCAGTCATCGTCATGGTTTATTTTCCTCCAACATTTTGCCAGAAGGACATTACAAAAGCTGTATTCCAGCCCTAGGTAGACTTATTTTATTATCCTCCTTTCCAGATATGACAATCCCTCCTGAACGTTAAATTGCAGTGCTTGTTCTGAGAAAGGAGGGCCTTCCTCGCCTTTGATGGATAAGGATGCCATACGCTATTTTCAAGGAATGCAGTGACCTGTTGAAATAATTTAAGTCGACACTGAGAAAAGAATTCTTCCAAAACAACACCTAGCATTGAAGTAATTGCTTCCTCTATGCAGCCTCTTGTGTGTTTCTGTCTTCTGTAAACGCCTATAGCAATTAAATTGCAGGACATACATTTCTTCATGGGCCTACACTATGCTACTGAGAGACCCATCGAGGACAGGGATTACCTCTTCAATCTGCTTCCTTTGTATGTCTGCGTATACAGTAGTGCTTACCTAGAAGCATGCGAATCAAATGGAATAATGTGTGCTGACCAAAGACCACTTCATCAAAGTGAGGAAATTCATGCTAAAGACATGAATGGCCAAATGTGACCACTTGTGAATGTACTAGAGGGCTTTATTTAAAAACCAAAATTACAGCCAGTGTTATAAATTACTACTAATCACGTCAATGTGTTTAGTAATTTGAGCTGCAGAGTGGACTATAGCGCTTTTAAAGAGTCCTGGTGGTGTGATGGTTAAGTGTCCACCAGCTAATTGAAAGGTTAGCACTTGGAACCCACCCCACTGGCCCTCAGAGAAAGCCAGACAAGCTGCTACGTAGGAGACCCCATGGGGCAGCAATACTCGGTCATATGGAACAGCTAGAAGTATAAACCAACGTGAGAATAACTGAGACCACCACCCCACAGCCTGTAAAATGTTGCTACCAATCACGGGTAGTTTTTGGAGTGCCGTGCATCATCCTGTGCTGAAAACAGATTAAGCAGAGAGAAAACGATTTTGAAGTAATATGACCACACTGTGTGTGTGATTACAGGCATGTTTCTTTATATCTGAATGCACATGTATATTAAACACTGTACCAATGTAACTAAGAAGGTCCTCTAAAATAATGTACAAATACAGTGTTTACAGATATGTCTAGTACCCATAAGTTCCACAAGAAGCAATATCATAATTTTGAATTCTCATACAACATTTTATGATGCGCTAATGTATCTCCTGTACAGTTGCTAACAGATGCCTTTTGTTTGTGTTTTTCTAGGTCTCAGGGTGGAGCGCTTTTTCTTTGAGTTCCTAGCCTGTGAGCTTCTGGTAAGAAGATAATATTTCTTCAGAGCTTTTCTAAAATTTCAAAGGTTTCCGAGGTTTTCCTTTTTATGACTTCTCTTTAAGAGGACTTAGTGCTTAGTAGTAAATTAGCATAATTGAATAGCTATTTTACTATAAATATTGAAGTGGAAACTATGTGGTATTTTCTTTTAAAATATTTCTGTATAGATTATAGTAATGTAGTCATTTGATATAGTCTTTAATAAGTTTCCAATTGAATTTCAAAGTATGGCTTAAAAAGACAAAGATTTATATCATTGGGGAAAAAAAGGTTTTCTGGACACAAATGACAATTTTATATATCAGAATTTTATACAGCAGGTCTATTTGATGCCAATGAATAGAGGCAATGAGTTATTGGAAGTAAAACTTATTTTATCACCTGTCAAGATTGATCAAAATTAGGTTCCTGGATGAAAGCTTGAGGTTCAAGCTTTAGGGAATTGAAAGCAACATATGTAATTATGGAAATAAAAATGATAAGAAATAACTAGTGACTGCTAAGGCAAAATTTTAGATATCATACTTATCTAATTTTCCATGAAAATGTGTTTAATGGTTATTATTGCTTACATATTAATTAGGATTATATTAATATTTGGGAACTACAAAATATTAATAAGTTGTATTTGTATTGCAGTGATACTATTGAAAGTAATTTTTAATGAGACAGTCTTCAGAAACTCTCTCTTATGGTAATTTTCACTTTCAATTGATCTATAAAATACAGATATTAAGGACATCAATAGCATACCTTTCTCATTTGTGACTAACAATATCCTTGGAATAATATAGGTAATTGAGTAAATCCCTGTTGACTTGTCACACAGCATTCTTGAAATGATTAAAAATTAGCCTTACCTGTTCTTCTGTTTTCAGTATATGAAACCCAGGATCGATGAACTTATAAGGACAGCAAGTAGAATAAGGGGTTGGGAGAAGTGGGGTTACAGTTGTTGGGGGAGAGGGGAGGTGTAGAAGGGACAAGAGGTCCAGGAGTCCAGGAAGGGAAAGACTGCTTGGAAACTGATTGGGGTAGTAATTGTAAAATAGTGTCTGACATGATTGAACTATGGAATGATATGGTATATGTATTAACTTCCAATTAATACTATTTTTAAATGAGTGTTATGCGGAGGTAATCAGTATTCTATTAAGAAGACTTTGCTGATAATGGAAGAGTTTTTCCATGAAATATGTAATTTGGATATTCATACAGCAATATGTTGTGATGCTTCACAAATATAGCTGGATCCAATTTCTTGCAAATCAACACAATTTATAAAATGGTACAAACATCTATAATCTCCTGTGTTTTTCATATTTTTATGGATAATTAATATTCATGTAGATTATGATTTGTGTGTTCTGTATGCAGCCTCTGTGAATGTGGTAAACTGAACACACTCATATAACCAAGCACTCATGTAACTAATTTTAAAAAGAAGGTAGCACAAGCTCCCCTAAGGCCCTTGGGTCATGTGCTGGGTTAAGTGTTGGGGTGAAAACTGAAGGGGCAGTGGTTCAAACCCACGAACCACCTCCCCCCACCCCCAGGAGAAAGATGAGAGGCTATTGAATCCTGTAAAAATTATAGTCTTACTAATCGATAGAGCAGTTCAACTTTGTCCTCCAGTGTTACCAAGATCTGGAATCGACCCCCGGCAGTGGATAGTGGGTGGAAACCTCTTACATGCTTTCCCACTCTGTGTAGTCACCAGTCACTTTCTTGATTCCTAAATAGAGAGTTCAGTTTGCCTCCTTGCTTACGCTCATGAATGGGATTGTGGAGTTCAGACTGCTTCATTCTCTCTCTCAGCATTATGTGTAGAGAATTGTTGTAATAGATTGCTTGTTCTCATTGCTGTCGTAGTACACAGCTGTATTTTCAACGGTGAGAATACACTGCCTTTTTAATTATTCCTCTACTATTAATAGGAGCCTGTGGCTCATACGACTAATGGTAATATGCTCATTCTGAACATGCCTTTTAGGTAACATACAGTCAGGTTTGGTTGAGTATAAAGGAAAGTTTGCCAAAACAGTTGTTCTACTTCTAGCAAGTCTCATATGAGTTCAGGATTTCATAGCCTCAAGAAGAGTTCTCATCTCAGCCATTCGGGTGTGTATGTTTTTTTGTTAGTTGCCCTCAAGTTGTCCCTACCTCAAAAGGACTCCATGCACAGGGCGATCAGACCAGTGGGCTCCCAGAGTTTTCCATTGACTAATTTATCTAAAGTAGATGATCAGGTCTTTCTTCCCAATCTGCTCAGCCTGGAAACTGCTGAGTCTTCTTCGGCATCCTGACGCAGAGCTTGTCTCCAGCGACTTATTAGTGGTGGCTGTTATTGGGGGACACATAGATCCAAGTCTCCAGCATAGAAAGCAAGGGCCCTACAACTATGCCAACACTTCTCCAACTCGCTTCCATTGAGTCTGTTGTGATTCATAGCAACTCCACAGGATCAAATAGAACTGCCCCTGTGGGTTTTCAAGCCTAAGCAGAAAGCTTCTTCCCTTTTCTGTGGAGCAGCCGGTCATTTTGAATTTCTGATCTGTGATTAGCAGCTCGACTTGTGACCAGCTACACCACGAGCACGCCTCGTGCTGGACTAGTATAAAAAGTACATATACTCACCATGTCAAGCTAAACTTTAAGAATTCGAATAAAACTATCATCAGAGTGCATTTAGCTGCATCACTTTTCGGCCTTTTGGCTGAGATCAAGTGCAGAGTGAATTTAGCTGCTTCGGAGTCACGATGGTTAAGACATTGAAGCTTGGGTGAAGGGAGACAACAGATGGTGTAGGACACGAAGATAATCATGATTTAGAATTTATCAAGGTTCATGACGGTGGGAGGGGAGGGCAGAGGTGTGGAATGAGGAGCTGATACCAAGGTCTCAAGTAGAAAGAAAATATTTTCCAAAGAATGATGGTAACATATGTACAAATGTGCTTGGTACAATTGATGTGTGGATTGTGATAAGAGCTGTAAGAGCCCAAAATAAAATGATTTTTTTTTAAAGAAAGAAAGAAATTGTATAAACATTGAACAGTCATGGAAAACATAGCCTAAATGGGGGTAGGAACGATCTACTGCAAAATGCTATTGTGTGCATTTCATTGAGATTTTATTTTCTCTGTGATTAAATACATAAATACATATCTAGAGCTATATTTATTTTCTATGAAAAGTACAGAATTGAATTGTAGACCTGGTTTGTGCCTGATAGAAAAAAATGTGTGAAAATCAATAGTAGCGCTGTACTAAAATTGCAAGTCAATTATGCAAATATGTGTGTGTGCTGCAGATTGCTTTGTTCGGATAGGCACCATTTTTGAATTGCATGTGGTTTTCCTCTTGAAGCAAGTGTTCTGATTCACGTGAATTCAGTTTTGCTCCACATTAGTTGATGTTTGAGAGATGGAATAAAACACAATGGAATGAAATGATTACGTTCACCTGAAAGTTCAATAGTTTCTGTATGCACATATCTAATTTAGGCTACTTTATTTTCCTCCTGGCCCTTAATCCGCATCTTTTATTGACTTCAGAGTAACTCAAAAGTCAAAGATCTGAAGTCTCCCATCAAATAAGATAATATGCAATTTAAAATAGTTATTAGCGATAAACAGTTAGTGATAATCACTCATTATTAAAAACTGTATATTATAGAATCATGATAACTAGTGAGGATAAATCACTAAAATAGCATCCTTCTTTCCCATTTCAAATCATAATAGTGTAACAATCTGTTTGGAAAACTATTCATTTTAAAGATTGAAATCCTTGAAGCTAAAGAAAAAATTAGTATTACATCATGTATTTGTAAGGAATTTCTCACAGTGTTTGTTTAAGGTTATCTTCATTTGGTCATGTAGTCAAGAACTGACAGTGAACGTCGAGAGTGCTCACCAAAATAAAAGTAAGTGATTTTCACTTTTACTGAATTACTAATCTCAGCGGCATAATTAGAGCAGGAACAGCCAAGGTGAAACACAAAAAAGATGCTTCAAATGTGTCCAAAATCTCTCAATAATACCTACATTCTGTACAAGTGGTGCACCCTTGTAAATAATGTGCACGCGTATGTAATATATATAGTGCACATGGGAATTTAATGGTGTTGCAGAGTTTGCTAAAAATAGCATAAACTATGAGTATGATAAACATAAAATCCTCCATTATTCACTCTTTACAGCTAAATAAAGAGGGTTTTTTTTTCTGTGAACCACACCATAGATTACTAGAATAAATATTTTTAAGTGTAATTAATGTGTCCTTGAAGATAAATGATAGATAAAAAGGGAACAATCCAGTTAAAAGAGCTCAAATACAGGTAATTGTTCCAGTTAAATATACTTTAGTTCAGGTTCACAGAAATAGACATAAGGAGGTTAGGGGACAAGTGAAGTTCACAGATAAGTGAGTAATATCTTACATATTACAAGAATATGGTGAGAAGTGGTAGACAATTAAGGAGTATAAACACATATAATACATTATTTGTTAACACCGTGAATCCAAAATGAAAAAAATGGTATTTTAAAAATTCTAATTGGAGAACATTAATATATTTTTAAAGATTAAAAAATAAATACAAAATAATTATTTTAAAGTACCCAAAATGAAGATTGAATATGAGAACAGAACATTGGATAATATGAGCATTAAATTCACAAAGTATATTTTTGAATCTATGTTCAATATTGCATGATTTTATTGAATTTCTGGAGTTTAATGTTTTTATTGTGTTTATTTGAAAAACAAAGATACCTTCCAGAACTTGGCATCTATCTGGAGAATTGCAGATGGTCATTTTTGCTGATGCCCAAGATTTAACTCTTTCCTTATCAATGTATTGTTTTAATAATGATACCTCATTAAAAATATCATTTTCAGAAATATAACTATATGGGAAATTTTGAGTAATATGATCAAATGATTTTTGCACATCATTCTAGTACTGTCTGCTAAAT